TCATAGATATATACACACACACATATATATGTATATACATATATATGCATGTTAATGTGTGTGTAAATTGGCATATATGTATATATATATATATATATATAGATAGATAGATAGATAGATAGATAGATAGATTAACAAAAATATTTCTTAAATATAGCTGTTTCCCAGTGATTTAAACTTTCATGTAAACGCATTGTTTATATTTGTCGGTGGTCACAAACTCATCAGGCGGCTGAAAAAATAGTAAACTTAATCCTATATGACCCATAGTATATATATATATATAGGTGCATATGTGCGTTCATGGGTATATATATATATATATATATATATATATATATATATATATATATATATATATATATATATATATATAATTTCAGAAATATCCTTAAATGCCTATATTTTATAACAGAAGCCATTGGTTTATACAAACGGCTTCCCATACCTAATACTTCTCGTTTTCACTCTCGCGTGGTCATGTGTGACCTCACGAGCTGCGATACGATTTTCGCTTCTGCGTCTCGTATATACGAGCTTGTCGTTACTTATATATATATATATATATATATATATATATATATATTCACCTTTTGAAAGTGAAGTAGGAAGATGCAGAGAAAAATAAAATTTTCTGATGAAATAAATTATTACAAATGGATCTATAAAAAGGGTCTATTTTTTTTTAATTAAATTATTTATATATATATATATATATATATATATATATATATATATATATATATATATATATATATATATATATCTATATTATACATATATATATATATATATATATATATATATATATATATATATATATATATATATATATATATATATAAGTCGAATATCTGTACATGTGAGAATATGTACCTACAATATTTTCTATACAGGTATATCTACATATATATATATATATATATATATATATATATATATATATATATATATATATATATATGTATGTATGTATGTATGTATATATATATTTCCACAAATATCCTTAAATAAATATCCTTATATAAATATTTTTATATTCTGACATGTACAGATATTCGACGTCCGCTAAAAAGTTTGCAATCGGAGCGACCTGACCAGACCAGGTTTGGTCGAACTGGGAACTTTTCCCCATCACCTCAGCACAGGTATAGATTCATTTACACCCAACACAGAAAGAAATGTCCATATATAAAATCACATTTTTTTGTACATACACACATACAGATGAAAAGATTGATACATATAATTTGCTTTCCTCATAATATATGTATGTGCGCGCGCTTGTATGTGTATAAATATATTAAATTAGTTCTTTGGGCATAATAAATAATGCAAACGTATACACTTGCGCATACACAAAACATACGTGCATATATATATACATATATATATATATATATATATATATATATATATATATATATATATATATATATATATATATATATGGACTTACAATATATATATGTGTGTGTGTGTGTATGCGTATGTGTGTGTGTGAAGATATACGTATATATTCGTATGGACATACATATATATATATATATATATATATATATATATATATATATATATATATATATATAGTAATTCCTTCTGATCTGCTCAGGAAAGATGAGAAAATTTGGGACAAAACCCATACGGAGTCGTTCGTGAAGATTTTAAATCTGTGTTCCTGACTGCCAGGAGTCCCCACCCTAACGTTCGTCCACTCCATCTTCATTGAGCCACTAAATCTAGTAGAGAGGCGCATCGTTTAATGTCGAGTAAGAGGGGCAATTTCCCAGTGAAAAATTGATAAATACGCTCTCTCTCCCTCTCTTTCAGGTAGATAGAGATGAAGAGGTGAGGTAGATAGATATGAACAGACTGAGATAGATAGATAGATAGATAGATAGATAGATAGATAGATAGATAGATAGATAGATAGATAGATAGGGTGAACGGTAAATTGTCGCCATTTTATATTTTTATTTTTAGCGCATGCGCATTATTTGTTTTTGATTTTGTTGACTTCATAGTATAGTAGGGTCAGTTGGGCACCGTCTGTGAGAAAAAGAACACCATTACGAATTTAACTCCGCAAGAAATTTAGAAACGGTATGCTGAACTGTATGGCATCTCCACAGGAAGCTCCAATGCGAACATTTTAGAGTGTTTGGGTATCAATCTGAGGACAGTGCAGAGGATTCGGAAAGAGATGGGTGTGAATAATTGTGATTAACACGGTAGGGCATTTCGAAAAACTCCCTCTGATCGTTCTGATGAGAAAAGAACTTCCGAATTTGTTGGTGAGATCCAGGCCATGATTGAAAAACGATCCGTCCAAATCAATCAGGTCCATTAACCAAGGAGCTAGTGCTACCCTTGGGTCAAGGGGGGATTGACCTGCTCGAAGAACCCTTTGTCTGGCAACGACCATGGCACACAAGCAGGAGAACCAAATCAGACAATTTCTACGACCACATCACCCTTTACATCTAGGCACCTACCTCACCAGATTGCCACCTCCTTGATTATTATGCGTGGGGTGCAGTTGAGTAAGAGACCAACAAAACTGGTTGTAACACCAAAGATGAACTGAAGGCAACGATTATGGCAGCATTCACCAACTTAAACAAGAAGAGATGCAGAATATTCCAAAGTCATCTGGAGACCATGGTTGAAACCAATGATGATTTTATTGAATAAGTTTAGTCTTTAGTATCTCAAGATATTTTTGTGTAATTTTGGTAAATATATCTGTTAAATATATCAATTTTATTGCGTATTTTTTGCGTAATCTTGCCATCAATTTATCCATCGCGCCCTGTATATATGAATAGACTGCGATAGATAGATAGATAGATAGATAGATAGATAGATAGATAGATAGATAGATAGATAGATAGATATGAAAAGACTGAGATAGATAGATATGAAAAGACTGAGATAGATAGATAGATAGATAGATAGATAGATAGATAGATAGATATCACTAGGATCGTTGAACGATTCGAGACGCATGACACTACTCAGGTGGCGAGCAGCTTTTCTCCCGGTCTGACTAATAGCAGTTGTCCACACGGTTGAGGTAAGAACAGCACAAACAAGGCACCTCGGCTAGAGCAGCCTGTCAATGTTTTTCCTTGAAAATTGCCTGTATGTAATTTTATTCTCATTAAGCATTATATATACATACATAAATACATACATATATATATATATGTGTGTGTGTGTGTGTGTGTGTGTGTGTGCGTGTGTGTGTGTGTGTAAAGAGAGATCGTTTTCATTTTCTCTTTTACTTATTCTGTTATTCCCGCTTTTATTCTTATTCTAACGCATTCTTATTTCCTCTTAAAAATTCTTTTGTCACGCTTTCTTTTGTTCTTATTCTGTTATTCTCAACATTGGAATATATTCTCTTGCTCTTATTCTGATTTTTTTTTTATAATTTTTCAGTGTTTCTCTTTTGTGTTCTTATTTTGTTATTCATATTCCACAATTTTCTCTTTTGTTCTCATTCTGTTACTTCCTCTATTCTTTTCTCTCTCTCTCTCTCTCTCTCTCTCTCTCTCTCTCTCTCTCTCTTTCTCACACACAAACATTATCTTTTTTCTTATTTTCTTTTCCTTTTTTTTCTTTTCTATTTTTTATTCTTTCTTTCATCATCTCTTTTATTTTCCTTTTCTCTTCTCCTTATGCTATTCCATTCAGTAACCATAACGTTATTTTGATGGCCAAGTTGCTTAACTTTATTCTTTTATTTTTTTCTAATTATTGTTTTCATTTTTTTTTTTTTTCCATCTTCTTTTATTTCTTTTTGATTTTGCTTTCTTTAAGCTTCTCCTCTCCTTTTTCTTTTTTTTTTCTCGAACTTTTTTTTAAAATTCTCTCTTTTCTGTTCATGGATTTTTTGTCTCTTTTTTTTTTTTTTTTTATTTTTATTTTACGTCCACTTCTTCGGTGCGCCTGCCATAGAGCTAATTAGCTCAGCAGGCCGTTTGCTGGCGTAGATAGTTCGATTCTTATGGGTGCTATAAATTTGTAGCACCTTCAATAAATATATACTTCTTTCTTTTTCTACTTTTCTCGTCCGATTCTCTTTCGTCTTTGTTTCCGTCTTTCCTCCATATTTTTCTTTTCGCTTTCTTCAACTGTCTGTTTTTTTTCTCTATTTTCTTTTTCTTTCCACGCTTTCCTACTCTCTTTTTTATTCTATCTTCTTTCTTCACAATCTTTCCCCACCCCATCACCTTTAATTTCTCGCTATCTCTACCACGCCCCCCTCTCTCTATCTCCCTATTCTTTTCTTTGTGTATGTCTTGCTTAATTCTCACCTTTTTCTTTTCTTGTCTATCATTCCTCCCTCTTTCCCTTTCACTGACGATCCTTCTTTTTCTCTCTGTCTTTTTTTTTTCCTTTCATCCCCTTTCTTCCTTTACTCTTTCTTTTCTCTCACTCTTTTCTGCTCCTGCCCTATTCTTCTCTTTTTCTTTTACGGCTCTCTTCTCTTTCTTTTTTCTTCTCTCTCTTACTTTCCTATACTTCTTCTTTTTTCTTTTTTTTCTTGTCTTTTCAAACCTTCTTTATTCTTGCTTCTTCCGAAACCTGTCCAACTGTAGGAATGCAGACTGTGCCACATTGTCTCCAGTCCTGACGAAGTCCTCGCAATCCCAACCGATGCCGGTCGATGAGAATGGGAACAAACATAGTGGAAAATACAAAATATAAGAGAAAAGTGGCGGGCGGGAAGGCAGCGTGTAGCGAGAGAGAAAGAGAGAGAGTTTTACGAACGTCAAATCGAGTAATGAATTAGGAAATTTATTATGTGTTCTTCGTAAATATAGGGATGTTTTCTGGGTGATGTAGGCGAGGGGCGTAAGGAAGACCAGGTTGAGAGGAAGACATTTCAAATAAAGAGGTACTGGAGCAAGACAACGAAAACAGACAATGATGACAAGAGGGGGAAGAGAGTCAAAGAATAGAAAAAAAAAGATGAGAGCAACAGAACTGTTTTAGAAAAGGAAAGAAATGTTTCGGTTCTGAAGCAGAAGGAAAGACGAAGAAATGGAGGAAGAATTGAAAAAAAAATCTGTTTGTTTAAAAGTGTAGCAAAAATTGAAGAACAAAGGACAAGAGACGTGAAGAAGAAAAAAGAAATAAGAGTGTCGGGGAAAAGAAAAGAGGAAGAAAAAAAACGAAAAACGAAGAAAAATAAAGAAATACTGAAGAAAAGAAGCGAAAAGATTAGCGGGGGAGGGGATGGAGATAGAGAGAGAAATAACGGAAGAAAGAGAGGGAAATAAATACACACGGGAAAATGAACGAGGAAGAAAAAGAGAGAAAGAAGGGAAGAAAAAGTTGGAAAGAGAAGCGGAGCGATAAAGAGGAGAATGAATGCCGAAGAGAAACACAGAAACAATAGAATAAAGAATCGGGTAGAGAAGTGAGAAGACAAGAGAGAGAGAGAGAACGAGCAATGGAGGAAAAGATGAAAGGGAAGAGAAGAGAAAGGCAAAGTGGAGAAAGAATGAGGAAAAGGAAAAGGAAAAAGAAATGAAGGAAAAAAAACTGGGAAAACAAGCTTAGAATTGAAGAGAAAGAGATGGATTGAAAACTCAGAGAAAAGGGTAAGGAATGAAGAGGAAAGACAAGGGTAAAACGTTGTGAAGAAGAAGAAGAAGAAGAAGAAGAAGAAGAAGAAGAAGAAGAAGAAGAAAATAGTATCGTGATAATTAGCAAGCTTATCTTAAACATCAATTCACTAGAAAAGTGATATCAATCTTCACTTTGTACCTCACTTCTACGACCTTGTGCCAGACTAAACAGAATACGGTAACCATGTCCAAGCCTTATTCGCTTGGGTAGACCGTTAAGTGCTTTTGTAGTTTGTCTTCGATCCCAAGTAAAAATCAAAACCGATCTTAAAGACAGGAAAATCTCTCTCAGTGAAAGACTGGCGCAACACACTCTTCAAATATCCACCTGTCCATATGCAGTATAAGGTAAGCTTAGTAAATATCATGAAAAGAAAAAGTAAAGATAAATAAAAGATATTAAAAAAAAAAGAAATGAAAAAGGGAGAAGACAAGAATTAAAGAATAAAAAGCAACAGAAAAATAAAAAGAGACGGTGAGTAAGACAAAGAGAGTGGGATGATTAATAAAGCTGAGCCAATGAAATGGTCACCTCTCTTTCCTATGTTCCAATATTTGCATTCTTCAAGCGTCTGGGGAAAAAGGATTCCTAGAAACAGGTGTAGTGTGGTCGGGCGAGACGTCGAAATAGTGTTGGAATGCGTGCGCCACAACACGAGAGGCTTGTGGAACGTGCTCACGAAGAATAAATAAAAAACAGAAAAAGACGGCTGGGGTCATTTTATTTCAATTTCGAGGGACCCACACCTTCCTTGATGGGGGGAAAACGTCAAATATTAGCCACCCTGCAGTGTAGCATCAGACAGAATACCATAAATATTTGGATAATTACGCCGCTTATGGCAATAATCACGACGCAGTTTGAAAAGTGTTTTGATCAGAATGCTATACAATTGATAAAAGGCGGGAAAATGAGAATATTTCGCTTCACACGCACACTTGATAAGTTCAGCCATAGAATGAGCGGGTATTACTGTTGAGATGACTTTCATATCCTGTAATGATTCCAGCAAGAATCGAATATACTATTAATGGCTTGAAAGAAGTGAAGAAAAAAGCCAGGAGAACGGTACGTAGGTAGTAAGATAGAGAGGAATAGATTGAGAGAAAAATGAATTGAATTACATAGATATAAATAGACTTTGATAGATAGATAGATAGATAGATAGATAGATAGATAGATAGATAAAAAGAATGAATGAATGAATGAATGAAAGTAAGAAAATTTTAAATAAACTGCAAAGAGATTGTTTAAAATAATTCCTCATCCAAAACTTCCGATCCCCTATAAAGTGTTTATCGTTTGTGTCGACTCTCTTATTTCGAGTCAGGACATTGCAAAACGTAAAAGTAATCATAATAAACATAATGTCTGTCTAGTATTGAATAAAATAAACCTGGCGACCCAATGTTTTTTTTAAATCCTAGCTAATAAAACGAACCTTTCGAGTGCGTAAACCTTAAAGTAATGATTGACTAGCGAATTTTACACATTATTGCTACTCCATTGATTTCCAAAAGCTAAGCAAATTAATAAGAAAAATAAAAAGTGTAATAAGCTACTATGTAAAATCTATTCTCTTATATGGCAATGAATACTCAATCTCCCCACTGATGAAGAACGGGCTTAAGACAACAGTGATGTATTTCTACAGAAGGATGATGAGAATACCAAAGACGGAATATAGAAACAAAAAGACGCATATACTCACAATCTGAAAGAAAATCTGAAATTCATTGGGCACATAATGAAGACTGTGGGCTTGGAGAATTTGACACTCACAAGACATATCGAAGACAAAAAGAAGGGATGGCAAAAAAAGTGAGGGGTGGCAAAAAGACAAACATTATGAAGAGTTACAACAAATAGGAAGTCGTGGACAACTATGATCACCCACGTCCTGATGGGACACTGCACATAGAAGAACAACTGATTGTCGTACAAAGCTAAGATTATTAAATATTTTTAAAATGATATTTTATTTAAAATTTCAGTACTGACAGCGTAAAAATTATATGAAAACGGTAATGCTTAATTGTACGCATGCGCAGGTGGTGCGAAAGGTAATTTTGGTGGTATGCCACGAGAATTTAAAATCATTTTTATTGCTGATGTAAGGACTTTTCTTTTAGAAACAAAGAAAAGAAAACTGAATTGCTATAAAATATCAATCTTCCAATCTGGCAATGAATACGTCTCCAGTTTCCCTCGAGATGATAAAGAAACTTTAGGCAATCCATATATGGTTCGACAGACGGACAATAAGAATCACCGGACTTATGAACAATGAGGAAGATTTAAGGGAAATTGAAACAACAAAAAAACACATGAATCAGAAAGAGTTGAAAATTTCTGAGAAACAGGAAAAAGGGAAAATTTGACGGTCACAGAAAACATTGAAGGCAAAATGGCGTAGAGGGTAACTGACAGTAACCAGTCTAACGAGCTTATATCACCGAATATTTATTGCAAGAGAGGATGAGGAGGCAAATACTGCTTAAATCTAAGGAGGTTGTGGAGATCCCTGGTCGACCGCATTCTTAAGGAACACAGCACATAGAAGATACAACTTTATTTTCTTTTTATATCCCGAAAGCGTGTACCTTTTTTTTGTCTCCCCAATTCGTTTAAAGATAAAACGCAAAAAAAAAATAATGGATGTTGATTTCGGATCGATCTCATACGCCATATATTTGAAAAATTAAATTAAAAAAAGAGGAGCCAGTACATTAAACGATTTTATTTGTAATATCTTAAAACAAACGTTTTTAATTCTGATATTTGATGACATTTTTTTTATTATTAAATTTGACAATTTTTGCTTTTTAAAATTCAATTTAAATTTAACGTTTTTGTCAAGTGGTGCAAGACAGATTTTCAAATCTCGAAGGAATGCGGCTCTTGAAAATGGTTAAGACTCGCTGTTTCTACTATATTCAAGGATTTCTGTTCCAAAAAGAAAGAAAACAAAGAATTTTTCTGTTTCGTTGCCATCTGATCAAACGTCTAAAATCGCTCGAGTGTACAGCTGTCATATATTAAACTGAGTTTAGCACAAACCCACAACAATCGCCAGAATTTACGCACCCTTGTCGCTAAGGATTACTTTCTACTCTGCAGCCCCTTTCCTCACAGACGCAAAGTTGCAAGACCGCCGCTAATCTACTGCAATTTCCATGGCAAATGTTCAGATGAGCGCTCCATTCTTTACTTCCAAAAGTTCAGACCTTTACAGCTAGGACACACTATACCACTTCCACAAAGTCGAATCAGCTTCATTCTTTCCATGTTCTCACCCGTTTAGCTTAATCTAGTTTGGTACAGGGTCACAATAGTCGGGCACCCAGAGAGAATGAAATACACTAACGATGGCATGGTCGCCATCACCATACAACATATTCATACATACTGTGGTTAGCCTGCCACAAGACTATAATAATCTCCGAGATAACTTTGTTCATGACCTCACCAGCACAGTTCACACACACACACACACACACACACACACACACACACACACACATATATATATATATATATATATATATATATATATATATATATATATATATATATCAGGTGTAACAGTAAAATTGACCAAATCGGGTAACAGCAAAATTGTCCAGGTGTTAGATTAAGTTTTGAACCGTTGCATCTTAGAAATCGATTAAATATATCTTGCCGGAATTCTCCGAGGGTTTTATAACACAATTGAATTCTACTTTGAACAATAAGAACATATTTAGCTCTAAGTTGAAATGATGAATGATGATCTCTCTTGCTGTTTTGACCTCCTGATCCAGTTTTCCTCTCTACTGTTATATATATATATATATCGCATATATAATTGTAATTATACTATCGTATGTTACCTGAATATTTTCTGTTTTAAATACTATGACTTGTTAATAGTATGCCAAACTGTTATACTTATACACAAAAGTGAATTGTTAAATTTGTTATGCGTTATCGATGCTGATTTAGTTACGGTGTTGTTGTTGTCAATGGCTGACTCCAACATTTCGGAGCTAATCACGTCTTTTCTCATTCTCTACGCTTAATACACAAGACATAATACACTGCCACTCTAGTTTTAGAATTACAGCCAAGAATCCAAACAGTAGATTACAAATAAGATGGTACAGAACCATCCTGGGAATCTCCAACGTAGACCTTATCACAAATGACGCAGTGCAAGGCACTATCAGACAAGAAACAGGCCCATTGGAAGATCTCATCACTGCAACCAAGAAGAAAAGTTTAAAATGCTATGGCGATGTCATAAGAGCCAACATTCTTTCCACGTTCATCACATTAGACAAAAAAAGAACAGATCAAAAGAAGAAAAAGTGGGTTACCAATTTTACTGGGTTGACTAGAAAATCATTCCCAGAGACTCGGGCATTGTTCAGGCAAGCGAGATATATGGAGGTCGTTGGTGCTCAGTTGCACAGCAACCCTACCACCACAACCGGTCAGAGAACTGATGATGTTATTTTAATGCGTAAAATCGGAGACTAGAGTTATCAGTATAGACACCTAACTAATGTTAATATTAAATGAATTTTCGATGTCAATAAAATTTTAATTCATATTAATTGGTGTTAATCTGATAAACAGATATAGTAATTGATATGGAGCGTTAAAATTTAAAACAAAACTAACAGCAAAGCACGAAAGCTGTGTTGACAATTTACAGGTGCTATTCTTTTATCCAATGAGTCAATCTTTATTCAACTCAAGATCAGACTTAGTACTCTCCGCCCGACTTGCTCTCCACTTGCGTTAACTGGCGCGAATGTGATCACAGCCGACCGCTTTTATTGCATAGCGCTTGTATCGACCTCTGTCAGTAACAATGACATCAAACTTGTCACTCGGTTGGATCCGCGTTCAGTGAAAGAGTCGATTCTAATCATTTTGTTCCGATAGTTTCAGACTCCATCAAATCGAACGGCAAATCAACACCGTGTGTGATAGGACATATCTGCGCCGTAATAGTTCAGTAAAAAATAAAATAAAATAAATAAACAAAAAGCAAGTCATTTTCGTTAACTTCCTCCGCTTCAAGAAAGACAAATCGAGTAGAATATGTCTGCGTCAAATAAAGTAAGAAAGACAAAATATATGCGTCTTTTTTATACTAAAAATTTCATATAAATAAGATTTACTTAACTGGCTTATATATAGTTTACCCCTGTCACTACATTTCTATGAATTTTTCTGTTTGCAGAGAATTTTAGGACGATAAAAAACACACACACATAAGACTAAGACTTACATAATTTGAGCCATTGTTCTACGAAGAGATCCTATAAGTATTTACTGATGCTAACTTAGACTATAGGCGTGTTTAGGAGGCTAGTCAAACAGAACATTAATATTTTTGTTTCTCAATGGGCTCCCTACACTTGTGACCAAGATTGAGTTAAGCTTAATAAAAATCAATTCTGCCGTGCAAATCGACTCCAAAATTGAAAGCTCATTTTATAACAATTGGACAATACCAATACGGGGGATCGAATCGTTGACCCGAATATTTCCTGTTATCCGAAACCCCCTGCCATAGTGAGTATTAATTTGTGATCGATTGAATCCGCAACAGATTTTGAATTTAATCTTTTATGCTAACTGCTTTGCGTTCGAGATTAATGGTATGTCATGCAACTGAAAATCAATACATTTGATTAATATTGATAACGGATTGAAGCTTTTCCAACAGCAATGTTTGGGCGGAATAATTCTTTTTATTCAACCTTTGGAAATAACGAGAAGAACATTTATACTACCAGCTTTAGAGCGTGTATATCGAGTCTAAGCAACCATTTCCATAACATGTTTCCAAGGGTCATTGAATTTAGTCGACTTATGGCGAACGAAGAGGTGAGAGTGGGTTAACAGTTAACCGCAGTGAATATGAAAACAGCGAACCGATTTCAATCACCGTGTCGGGCATATATACTCCCCTAGCTATGGCTATGTAGTAGAACAATTGGAGCTCTTTTAGTCTTAGGTGTTCGATAGATCAGTTCAAATGCTCCATGTTTCGAGTAGAATGGGATCTACAGCAAACAGTCGCATGTTTTACCCACAGACGGGGGGATAGGCGTCGTTATAGAATACCATGGCGGGACAGTCAGTGGAATTAATGATGAGAAACTTTCATATCTATAGCTAAAGAGAATCTCTTGTTTATCTCTTGTGTGGCCTTCGATTCTCGTTGAAAACCTTTGCTGCCCTAAATCAAAATATTGGACACTTGCCGACGAACATTAATTATTAGAATAATCTCGAAAGCTATTCACAGAAAATTCGATACTTCCTGAATATGGTTTGGGGACCAGATAAGCTTAATAATAATTACAGCCTTCATTGAATTCATGTTTGTTACAAGGCCACTTATAGAGAGCAAAGTTTCATATTCACACACATAAATATCCGCATCCATTTCCGGATCCAAAGAACTTTTTAAATTCGATGTCTTGAATTCTTGCATATATATTAAGAAATTCCTCTTAAGCAATTATGAGACTGGATAAAAAAAATGTACATTTCAAATAACCCCCACCGATTTATTTATAATGACCTTGATTTCCTTCCTTCCTTTCTTCTTCTTCTTCTTCTTCTTCTTCTTCTTCTTCTTCTTCTTCTTCTTCTTCTTCACATCCTCCTCCTCCCTTCCTATTACACCCAACGTCGTGCGTTATTTAATTTATTTTTTTAAAAATAATATAGCGTTCATTAGTTTAAAAAATTTAAAGCGTCAAAGAGGTCATTTGATAAAATTCGGCTGAGGAGACCGTAAAGTTGAAACTAAGATAGCAGATTCAACTGACTTCCTGAATTTTTAAGCATATATATATATTTTATATATATATATATATATATATATATATATATATATATAGAGAGAGAGAGAGAGAGAGAGAGAGAGAGAGAGGTGGGGGGGGGGAAGTACAACAATAAAATCTCTTCTTCTCCAGCTATGCGTAAAATAGCAGGAAACAGCGGACGCTATCGCCTTGTTTGGCAGCCAGACTAGAAGAAGCGCTTTTGAAGTCAAATTGGTTCATTAATTATAGAATCGAGCAATTCTACCCATAAAACTTATTTGCGACTGAAATCGCAGCAGTATCATTTGTAGTGAATCTATACTTCAAAAGAGACGACAAGTTTTCAGAGAAAGCGAGAGAGAGAGAGAAAGCAAGAGAGAGAGAGAGAGAGAAAGCAAGAGAGAGAGAGAAAGCAAGAGAGTGAGAGAGAGAGTAGTGCATTAGTAAGTTACAGAGTCTAGTGATGAAAGGACATTTATTTTACACAACAGCTATTTAATTTTCAACATAATGTAATTCTTTGTCAGTGTGGAATATTAATCACCTATTAATCACATATCCATAGACGACTATAATTGTTTATCTCTTGTAGCTTTTTCGATCGAGAACCCTACGTTTTTAACCTTGTGGCAAAATCATCATTATTTGCTTAGAGGAACCAGTTTGGCAAAAGATAAAAATGCACAATTTCGTTCAAAATATCTGACGAAAAAGTTTGATGTTGTGAATATTATTGAACAATAAATAGATTTTTAGAAAGTCCCTAGTACCTCGTCCTGGGTAAAACGATAAACTACATCTACGTCCTGGGTAAGACGATAAACTAGATCCAACAGCAAGGCCTCTGTTCAGGAGGTTTTGAGGAGCATTAAACCACCTCTTAATTGCTGGTGTTTCTAGGTCCACCCTGACCCGGGGTGGTAGCACCTGTCAAGGTCCCAGCTATGGGCAAATAGTTAACACCCAAACTTGGGTCAAAACACTATGAAAGTGTAAATATATGTTTTAATACCAGAAATACTTTATAAAAAAATATTACCAACAATACATTTTTGAAAAAAGAAAAAAAACATTACCAGCAATACATATTTTTGAGAAAATAATTCCTAGCAATAAAAATTTTGTCGCCATTAAATAACCCATTGAGGTTGATATGCCGTAAACCAAACCAAACCAAACCTTGGTACCAAATTAAGTAACAATGGCTTGAAAGATCCACGATGATCTACGACAAGTAATCTATGTCCGAGTTCCCACATAGATTTATAATTAAAATTAAGATAAGAAAATATTTGTACTTTTAGAAAACAATTATATTTTTAAATTTCCTAATATCGGTAAATTATATTTTGGAGGAAATTCAAGCAGACAACGTGTCGACTGAAGAATTTCGCAGACAGAAAGCAATCAGAAATATTCGTTATGATAAAGTTATTGAATGAAAGAAAATCGTTGTCTTTCTTTTATATCAAATATTTCACGCCTTAACAAGAACTAATGGTGATTAGTGAGCAGATTTTTTAAATTTTTATACAGAACGTATCACAATTCATTATCTTCTGTTGATATATAGTTTCAAGGGCAAACCGGGCTTATTTACTCGACTGGGGTTTTGATTGGCGACGCCTCGAAATATCGTTTGGTATTGGTTGGGAAAAAAGTAAAAATAATGAGATTCAGGGATCACCTTTTGACTTGTTTTGGTAGAAGGGAGAGGAAAGTGAGTGAGAGAAGGAGGAGGAGGAGAAAGGCTATGAAAGGAAGGAGGAGGGAAAGTAGGAAAGGAGGAAAGAATAATAATGGATATGTAGAACTGAAAAGCAGAAAAAGGAATGAAACGAATAGAAGAGATTTATAGACATGAAAAATTGAGAAAGTATGAAAATAAGAAGGGAAGAAAGAAAGAAAGAAAGAAAGAAAGAAAGAAAGAAAGAAAGAAAGAAAGAAAGAAAGAAAGAAAGAAAAAGGAGAAAAATAGTAAAGGCAAAGAAAGATTGAATTAGTAATGGTTAAGAAAGAAAAAAGAAAAATAATGATGACGAAAAGGGAAAGAAAGAAAGAAAGAAAGAAAGAAAGAAAGAAAGAAAGAAAGAAAGAAAGAAAAAGCTAAAAAAGAAAAAGAAGTAAAATAGTAAAGGCAAAGAAAGAAAAAAGAAAAAACAGTAATGGCGAAAAAGGAAAGAAAGAAAAACTGACAGCAGACGATTTCTTTAAAAAATGAAATCATTCTAATCCGAAAGAACTCAATATAAGAAAAAATCTCTTTTCCTTCTTTTTATGGCGATGATATCAATTTATCTTCCACCACTTTATACCGAAACCGTCAAGTTATACAATGCCATTGTTGACCAGTAATAAACAGTCGGCAACTTAAAGATACATACATACATACATACACACACACGGATATATATATATATATATATAAAAGAAATATGTTGTAGTGGTTCCAACGAGAGAAAAGTATGTATATTAAAAAGAAGAGGGGTGCCGCAAACGTTTTTGGTTGTAATGTGGATTTATTGAGAAAAAATATTATACTTTGTTTTACATAATTTCACGACACGTGTTTCTGGTCTGGTCTCGCAACCGTCTTCAGGTGAAAGTGGAGATTTTTACATATTATTAAAAATAATTAATTTTTCTTCATGTTCAATGTGGAATATTCTCGATATGAGACATTCTGTTTGTGTGTTATTTAATAATATGTAAAAATCTCCACTTTCACCTGAAGACGGTTTCGAGACCAGACCAGAAACACGTGTCGTGAAATTATGTAAAACAAAGTATAATATTTTTTTCTCAATAAATCCACATTACAACCAAAACGTTTGCGGCACTTCTTTTAATTTAATATATATATATATATATATATATATATATATATATATATATATATATATATATATTAGCAATTAATGTTAGCAATTGATATATATATATATATATATATATATATATATATATATATATATATATATATGTATGTATAGGGAGAGGAGAGAGAGGAAAATAAATGACAAGACGGAAAACTGTTGTGACGCGTTTCGTTCAAAAATGAACGTCTTTATACACAATCATGGTTTTATTGGTGGAATCAATTTATCTTACATATAAAAAGAATAAGATACAACAGACACTGGCAACAGTTTAAATCAAGCCGTTATGCATATAGAAAGGACGAGGATCATACGAACAACATATCTCCTTCGAAAAAATGACTATTAATACAATATGGAATAATTAAAAACAATCCGATTAAAAATAGAAGTTTTAAAGCATTGCTTGAAATAGTTTCAAATTTACAAACATCGAACGTGAAACCTTAAATTTAGAAATAATATGTTGCACCGATCTTTCCGGTGAAAAATGTCTGCTTTGAAAAGTAGCATTCGAAACCGTTGTCCTTACTTGCTCTTGAAGAAAAGGAAATTGCAAGCATCAAATAAAGAGAATTCACATGTATATCCCTTTTTGGTCCCGCTTCTAATGCGCTGGAGGGAGCGGCTTGGTGAAAGAAGACGCGGTTCTTGGGGCACAAGGCGTTGGGTTTCGAATATTTGGAGCAGTATCACCGCGGAACAGTATCACTGCGGAAAATAGTGAGTGTGGGGGGGCTATATCGTGTCTAGTCAGTTTCTTCGTTAACAGAGGCCCTTTGGTCGAGTGGTATGGCGCTTGAGCTGTATCGTAACGGCCAGGGTTCGATTCTCTGTAGTGGATGCGCGCTGCTCATGAGTCCCAAACAGAACAAAACGCCCGTCCAATGCTTCCTGCATTCTATTGAGGATTCTTCTAGATTCATTGAATTACTCTCTCTCTCTATTATATATATATATATATATATATATATATATAATATAGATCATTATTGCCTAAGGAAATACATAGTCCAATAAATTAAAGGAGTTTAACGCGCTTAAAGGGGCCTAGATTTTGTAAATAAGACACACTATACAAAAAAGGGATATAACAACAATGTTTAATAGATAGATTAATGTTCCAAAGACTTATCTTTCCGAATTTAAGTATCGCAGATACAATGCTCGTCGGGAGGGTGAGGGCAGATGGATTTATTAACAAATATAATATTTATATACGCTACATAAAAACTTTAATTATTGACTCTAAAGAAATTCAAAACATGTTCCATACTAAAAGAAAAACAAGTTGTAACGTGAATAATTGACTAAATGTTAAAATAACATTATAACGTGATACTATGTAAACTTATCTTGACTAAATGTTTATATTTTCACCTTTCTGAAGGTATCTGCAAAACGGAAAGATAAATCTTTTGGACTTTTTTCTTCATATATATATATATATATATATATATATATATATATATATATATATATATATATATATATATATATTCCGAAAAAATCCTTGTTGAAAACACAACTATACTTCAACATGAAGACGATAAACAAAGACTAAAAACTCTTGAAGCTATATACATAAAACAGTTGAAACGTAACTTGAACAAAATAAACTATGAAATCTCCACAAATATTCTTAAATGCCTATAGCTGATAACAGAAGCCATTGGTTTATATCAACGGCTTCCCATACTTAACATTTTTGTTTTCACTCTTGCGTGGTCATGTGTGATGTCATGTGCGATTTTCAATTCCAGCGTCTCGTATGCACGATTTTGTCGTTGCTTGGAAATCTTCCATGCAAACAAAAGAGATTATCATTGTTTCTATGTCCGTGTATTGTTTAATTTATGATAATGTAATTGTCATCATTGATGATGGATTATGTAAACCGAAAGGTTAGATAGGATTAAAAAACATGTAACAATATGGTGATTTTCTTTCGTCTTTGATAATGTTATTATGCTTATCAGACGATATGAAATAAATTTGCTTAAAATAAATAGACAAAACTATATTATTTAATGAAACATGCATTAATATACACACATACATACATATATATATATATATATATAGCGATTTGGAATCATATTTTAAATAAATAATTATATTTATGCTCTACTTTTGTATCGAGCACTATTTTTAAAAATAATAACTAAAAATACTAAGGGACTTTGGATTATTTACCTAACCAGTTCCTTCCTATTTTCTATTTTTCTATATATATATATATATATATATATATATATATATATATATATATATATATATATATATATATATATATAAGTAGAGTTATATTATAATAATAATTTTTTTTATTTTTAACAAAAATATTATTATAATATATATATATATATATATATATATATATATATATATATATATATGATAAACTATTTTTTAAGGTATGCTATATTAAAGCGGTCAGTATCAGAGATAGGGTGTATATGTAAATATAAAAGTGGAGATTGATGTTAAAACCCTGAGGCGACGGTCAGTCCCACCCTATGATGCAATCGTCAAGCCATGATGAGGGTTCTGTTTTGGGTGTTGTGAGTTGGACAGACGGAGATAGATAGATAGATAGATAAATAGATAGATAGATAGATAGATAGATAGATATGAACAGACCGAGATAGATAGATAGATAGATAGATAGATAGATAGATAGATAGATAGATATGGACAGACCGAGATAGATAGATAGATAGATAGATAGATAGATAGATAGATAGATAGATAGATAGATATGGACAGATATGGACAGATAGATAGATAGATAGATAGATAGATAGATAGATAGATAGATAGATAGATAGATAGATAGATAATGAACAGGCTGATGGATGGCAGTATATTATTAACTGTCTGGTATATTGATTAAATGGTTTTACTATTTCGATAAAGAAAGACAGCGTTTATTCTCTTTAACGGAAATTGGAACATAAATATTTTATTCGGCCGTTTGTATTATTTCTTACCGATTGAAAAGCGCCCATCTTGCCTGTTTGTCTGGACATGTCTCATCACAGGGACCACAGAGAAATAGAAGAATGTTTTAAAAGATCCGATCGATATTTGATCTTGTCTATAAGGCTCCCCTCTCAAAACGTCTTTCTCTTCCAGCAACCAGAACATTTTCCGTGCTTGTATACACTGAAAATTTAATTCCTACCAATTCTTAAATACGATGGAAGGAAGAGGATTCCTAGATCTTAAGACGTTGTCATTTTTTAAAGAATTCCTTTTTATTTCATTTATTCGCATTTTGTTTCCTGTAATACATCTGTGCGTGTTCCACGCAAGTCAAGCGTAGAGGGATTCGTGGGGTCTGCATGGACAAAAATGGACGCAATGATAAGAAGAGATGTAATTTGTGTTTGAGTGAGAGAGAGAAGGATGAGATAGATTAGTGTCTGAGTCTATGTATTTGTCTTTCAGATAGAGGAGAAGAAGAAAGTAAATATGAATAAGAGAAGGTTAGAGGGACTGTATGAAAGAAAGATCTAAGAGGAAAGAGATTGAATAAAGAAAGAACGATTTAAAAGAAAGAAAGAAAGATTTTGAAGAAAGGAGAAAAGAAAGAAACAAACAAATATCTACAAGAAAGAAAGAACGTTATAAAATAGATAAAGAAAGAAAGATATTGAAGAAGAAATAAAGAAAGAAAGGTAGATGATTAAAACAAGTATTAGAAGAAAGGGAAAAAAAGATCCAGAAGAAAGACAATGAATAAAGAACCTGAAGAAAGAAAGAAATAACTAAAAGAAAGAAACAAAAGTAAGATCTTAAAGAAAGAAAGAAACAAAGAAAGAAAGAAAAAAGAAAGAAAAAAGTAAGATCTTGAAGAAAGAAAGAAAGAAAGAAAGAAAGTAAAAAGAAAGATCTAAAAGAAAGAAAGATATAAAACAGATAAAGAAAGACCTTGAAGAAGAAAAAAGAAAGAAAGAAAGAAAGAAAGACCTGAAATAAAGAAAAAAAAGATCTAGAAGGAAAGAAGAAAGAAAAATAGACGATTACGAAAGAAAGAAAGATGAGAAAGAAAGAAAGAAAGAAATATCTTGAAGAAAGAAAGATCAGAAGAAAGAATGAAAAAAGAAAGAATGAAAAAAGAAAGAAAGAAAGAAAAAAAAAGAAAGAAAGAAAAAAGATGATTAAGAAATATATGAATATATAAAATAGATAAAGAAAGATGTTAAAAAAGAAAAAAAGAAAGAACGAAAGAAGGAAATATCTAAAATAAAGAAAGAAAGATCTAAAAGGAAGAAAGATGATTAAGAAAGAAAGAAACAAAGATCTTGAAAAAGAAAGAAAGATCTAGAAGGAAGAAAAAAGGAAAGAAAGAAAGAAAGAAAGAAAGAAGGAAAGAAAGAACTAAAGAAAACAAATGTACAACAGTACGAAAGCTAAGCAAATCATATTTGAGGAAGAATGTAATTAATAACAAAGTTGGATCTTGGAATTGTTTTCAGGTCTTAACTAGTCTGGCACAAACTTAGGGCACTAAATGAGGATCGAACTCGCTATACTAGCAATGGATTGCAAACATCTACATTAGATATACCGTTAGTTTAATTTAGTCTGGTGAATGGGCACACAATAATATGGTGCTAGGAGAAGCTCGATCCCATGCTATAAGCTTCAACGCCATCGCTCTACGGCAGTAATTGTAACTGGGAAATAATTTTTTAAAAAAACTGTGAAAGTCTTGTAAGTGAACGAAAGATTTTTAAAAAAAAGCGAATTAGAGGCGAAGTGTCTAAGATAGAAAATGGGTGTTGCCTTTTTTTGAATGCATTTGAAAGAAGCTAAGGTAGGTGTAATGAACAGCGTGGAAAGAGTGAGAAAAAAGATTGTATGAGATGGAAAAAGGTGGGTAGGGAGTCTTAGTTATACACGTGCGTTAAAATTATCAAACAACCCCCAGATTTTCGCTTGAGTCTCTTCTTTTTTTTATTTGCAAATTTACAAATAAGTCCAGCCATGCGTGAATTTCGTTGGCGGGGGAAGAGGGTGGGGGGTGATTTATTATACACGCCAAAATTGAATCTGTATAGAGAGAGGAGAAGCGCTTTATGTAAAATTCGATGCCTATGAGTGAATTTGTGTATAAATAGTACATTTCTTTTTGATAAATATATTCTTATACTTGTGTGTATGTGTTTATGTGTGTGTGTGTGTGTGTGTGTGTGTGTGTGTGTGTGTGTGTGTGTGTGTGTGAAAGGAGAAGAGAATGCGAGATTGACGGACAGACAAACAGACAGAGATGTTGTGACGTTTCATACTCTTTCTGAATGATAAATGCGTCATGTTTTGTTCATTTTTTTTTCAATTCCGTCAATTTCAGGTAATTATCAAAAGATAGAAAAAGAAAAGAAAATTGAATTTGCTTTCCTTTGTTGTTGTTGCTAGTAAAACAAATGTTTTATGCACAATTATTTCGCCAAAGTTATCATGTGCGTGTTAAAGAAAGAAAGAAAGAAAGAAGTGGTATGTAAGAAAGCGATATGAAAGAAAGAAAGAAAGAAAGAAAGAAAGAAAAAAAGAAAGAAAGAAAGAATTGAAAAAGAAAAGAAATAAAGTGAAAAGAAAAAAATTTGAGAAAGACGAATGAAAGAATGACAAAGGATTTATGCAAAATTATTTCGCCAAAGTTATCATGTGCGTGTTATGTGAGGGTAGAAAGAAAGAAAGAAAGAAAGAAAGAAAGAAAGAAAGAAATAAAAAAGAAAGAAAGAAAGAAAGAAAGAAAGAAAGAAAGAAAGAATGAAAGGAACAAAGAAAGAAAGAAAAGCGATGCGAAAAAAAGAAAGCAATAAGAAAGAAAGAAACAAAGTAGATAAAAAAGAAAATGTGAAAGTGAAAAAATAAAGAAAGTTGTGAATAAAGAATGAAAGAAAGACAAATGATTTATACACAATTGTTTCACCAAAGTAATAATGTACGGCTTATGTGAAGTGGGGAGAATGAAAAGAAGTAATAAGAAAGAAAGTTCTAGAATAAATAAAGAAAGCGGTAAGAAAGTAAGAAAAAATAAACAATGTAGAGAAAAAGAAAAGGTGAAAGTGAATAGAAAGAAAGTTGAGAATAAAGAAAGAATAATCGATACGAAAGAAAGAAAAAAATGAGTGAATGAATATAAACAAAAAACGAAAAAAAGAAGGAAAAAGAAGAAAAAGCAGCAAAAATAAAGATAGAAGTATGCGAAAGGAAATAAAAAGAACGAATAGGTAGATTTGTTCTGTGTGCATGTGCGCATGCGTATGAATGCGCATGCGTTGACGGCCCCATATTTATTAATGAACAAACGAATGATTTTTCTGGTTAATCTTAATAGTTTATTATTTTCCAAACAAGCAAATTAGTTTATTGACGTTCGCTTTGGAACGAAGAAAGAAAAAATGAATTTTCCTTAAACAATATTCATACGCATCATGCATAGATCTCTGTATTTATATAGAATGGAATTATACTGTGATATCCTGAGTTTTTCCTGCCATTTCTCTGGCTAATAGGAATAACAGATAGCGCATATTACCATTCCACATAACATGCAGCCTCAGGTGCATAACACTAATTTTATTGTGAAAACATTGAATTGCAAAATAAACTTATATATACTAGTTGTATATGCTAACTAAAATTGTATATACCAACTAAATATACTAAAATTATATATACTAGTTATATATACTCACCTTGAAAATTTCACGGTTTTCCTAATTGAAATTTCTGAGGAATTTTAATTCTACAGTTAATGATTGAATATGCTCATGGCGAGTTCTACGACAATACAATATCCGTAGAAAATCCATCACAACTTTAAAATATTTGAGCTTAACAACTTTAACAAAATATTGCAATAACAATCATAAATATGAATGCTGGGGGACTTCAATGTGGTGTAATGGTTAGCAAGCGTGTTTCGCCAGATCAGTTACGACTGAGTTCGATCCTCACTGGCTGCCCCTAAAAGTTCCATAGAGCAGATATGAATGAATGAGAGAAAATCATGGAGAATTGTGTTTAAAAGCAGTAAAATCGACCTGGCTAACCGAACGCTCTTCTGTGGCCGAATCGGTTAAAGGCATGTCAGGCTATATGACGGTTCCGTATAGGATACAGGTTCGATTCCTGACAAATATTTTCTATGTAAATTTCTCGGACATTCAGGTCGGTAAATGTTGTTAATGCTGTTTATTATAAAACAGAGCATTTACTTAAATATTTGTATCTATAAAAAGAATGTATAAACATAAAAAATGTCTTAATATATATATCTTAAATTTACGTATATATATTTTAATCGTGAATTTATTTTTTAGACGTGTTCTAAATTTTCCTTCAATTTCCAGAAACTTACTGACGAATTCAGTTTATATCATTTTTGCCAGCGTTGGTCCCCGACGAAGTTTTAGCCAAAAAGTAACAGGGTTCATTGGGATAAAAAAATGATGAGCACAAAATTGTATCTCTTTAAGTCTATTTATGCATTCTGTGGCATCAAATCATTATATATATATATATATATATATATATATATATATATATATATATATATATGAATAAAAACAGACCACTTTAAGGTTCCATGTAATAAGTTATTTCACCACAACCCTTTTAAAGGGCTGTGGATCATCAGACTTTTACTTTAAAGTTGAAAAAAAAAAAAAATACATTTTTTTTTTTTTCAACTTTTGCCTAGTTTTGCATAAACTATATACACACACACACACACACACACACACACACACACACACATATATATATATATATATATATATATATATTTGTCTATGTGTGTATGTGTGTGTGGACTTGTTGAATATTATTAGTGAGTTTGGACCTCACTAAGTGTCCCATATATTCTGCTTTTTAAATAACAAAGCTATACCCAATAATAGTTACAAACGTTTTCGTTTAGAGTTGTACATCCTTCAATGGTTAAAAATTCATTGAAAATATTTTTATTTATTTTTGAAAAGCTTAATAAAAATAAACATTTTTCAGTGATTTTCTAAATTCACCATTTTTTCTTTTTGGTTTTTAGGCCACTTTTTCAAGCATATTTTTAACGAATTATTTTCAGTCAATTTTATTATTTTTCTTAACAAACTTACGAATCAGTTCATCGAAGCTTGCACTTGAGGAAGATTTCTGGGGAAATATTTTTCAGAAATTCATCGAACCGAAATCAATGCTCAATTTCTTTGAGCAGCAATTATGCCGTGCATCGAGTGAGTCTTTGCTCACAAAACACAATTGTTAGCTGATTTAATTGATTGGAAACAGATCATTTATTGGTGTGTATTTATCAATTATTTCAAGAATTTCTCTTTTGACAAAACCGCCTCTTTCCAAGTCAACCCAAGCGAATATCGAATTAATTTCACGAGAAAATAAAAAAAATACAAATTCGACTTTGCAGTGAAAGTTTTTACAAAATGAACCGGAAAGTGACAAGCGCACAAAAGCTAAACGAAAAGCGCTTCTTAGATTCGTTCAAATAATCTTGAGAAAAAAAAATGGTAATTTCTTTTATTAATTGAAGCTTTTTTTTATTTTTTACAAATGAATCACCGTAGATGCCTGCCGTAAAACAGTAGGTAAGAAAGATGCTATATTACACTGTCCCTGTCAAACTAGTCCTAATATAAAAGCACTTCGACGTGAAAGAAAGCCAATCTCGTTGACTAAACTGCTGCTATTAGCATGAGGCTAAGTGTAGTTCAGAAATGAAATATCATCTACAGTCGCCCTCTCACAGACGTGCCGTTGCCTCTCTCTGTCTTTTTTACAAATACTTTCATGGTAATTGCTCCGATGAGCTGCTTTCGCTGGTTCCCAGACTTCATCAATTCAAGCGTCCTACGAGGCTGGCATCCCGTTTTCACACTTTCACTGTTGAAACGGTTAAATGTAGCCGTCTCTTCTACTCCAATAGCTTCATTTCTCGCACCTCTCGCCTGTGGAACCCCCTCCCCTTTTCCTGTTTCCCTGATAACTATAATCTCCAACTATTCAAATGTAATGTCAATCGACATCTCCAGTTGCCTTGATCTATCCACTATCATTCTCATCATCCTTCCTCTATCTGCTCTCGCTCCAAATCCTCTGTAACCCATTGCATGCTAGTCGCAAGAAGCGAGACTCGGAGCTTTTAACGCAACTTTGTTAAACATGGCGTAAAAATCAGATATTTTAAAGCAACTTTTAAAGTATCTCTACCTTTCACGAATTTTACGCATGATATGAGGCTGAAACTTGAGAATTTGCTAAGTATAAAGCGTAGCTAAAAGTACCTGTGGTAATAAAAATTTATTTATAGTTCCATCCTTACTCGGTAATAAATGATTGTGACACAGCACCTGATTAAACAGAGTAAATATCTAATATCACTTGTCTGAGAGCAAAGATAATCTAACAGACTATAATTAAGAGTAGCGTGTTCGATACTATTACGTACCTTACAGCCTTGTACCAATCGAAACTACGCTTATAAAATATCTACAGGTGAACGATCAATAGTACTGTATCACTCTTACAAGAAGGCAATACCGTAATTCCCTATATATAATACACATTTTTTTCTAAAAAAAAAAATAAGCAAAATTAGGGGTGCGTATTATACACAGCTACAAAAAATCTTTAAAAAATTGCCGTTTCATAGGTCGATTTCAGTTGCGAAATGACTACTCACCACAAACATACGACAATTTGACACAAACATTCGGCGATTGCGACCCCATAAGGATGTCAAATACAATCATATGTACCTAACAATACTTACAAATGTAAAATAAAATATTATCATAAAACTGAATTAGAATAATATTATTCTATGTTTAAAACCATTTTTTGTGAAAAACTACATACAGATCTGGTAGATTGCCCAATTCATCAAACAAAAACAGATTAATGAGTCTGCGCAGTAGGCATAATATAGGTATTTCCGTTTCTTTTTAAAATCATCATGATCGGAAATTTTGATAAATATCTTCATTTACAGCTTAAAGAAGAATAGAAAACGCTCTCCGTAATGAAATTGGAGAGATACAATGTATAGGGTTTGATTATCAAACAAGGGGTGCGTATTATGCGTAAACGAAAGCATTTTTCCATACTTTCAGCACAATTTTAGGGGTGCGTATTATGGATGAAGGCGTATTATACATGGGGAATTACGGTAAGTCAGTTATAATTGTTGTTTGCGATATCTTGATTTAACTAAATTTTTACCTCTTTCTAGATACATTTAATCCGACTAAGTGACAGTTTATGGAGTAAAATATAAAAATAATTCTGAATTGATCAAAGAGGCGGGTTGAAATGAATATTCTAACTACGATCAGAAAGGGGATCATCGCAGACAATATTGGGAAAGATTCGGGTGTTCGGTAAAGCATTTCTCATCCGACAAAAAAGCGAAGAATTTCTGTGCTAAGTGCGTTCAGCCATTGCAAAAAAAAAAATCTTTAAAATCTGTTCATAAGAAAATGCCTTCTAAAGATTTGTAACGAAAAAGGAATAAATCTATCTTCTCTTTCTCACTGACTGTATCTCGAGATAGATAGATAGATAGATAGATAGATAGATAGATAGATAGATAGATAGATAGATAGATATGAACAGACAGAAATAGATAGATAGATAGATAGATAGATAGATAGATAGATAGATAGATAGATAGATATGAACAGACTGAGATAGAGAGAGAGAGATATGAATTCAATGAGATAGATAGATAGATAGATAGATAGATAGATAGATGAATAGATAGATAGATAGATAGATAGACTGAAACAAAAGATCAACACAAGAAAATATGATGTACCTCGAAGCACACAACAAAAACAATCATGTATAAACTAAAGCAATTATAATTTAAGAGACCGAATTCTTAAATATATATATATAAAAAAAAAAACACGCAGGCACACACACACACACACGTGTCACACTCACACATCACCCCTTGCCTGCGTCACAACACACATTACTCATGTCTCTACACTAATTAGTTCTACGAAATTCACCATTCGTCTCTACCTTCCATGATGATGATTTAAGAAAATCGAAAGCTTGGACCATATTTCTTCCAAAATGAAATTCGGACAATTTTTGACGGAATTTCCTCCTTATCTAAAAAGAATTATTCGTAACTTGGAAAAGTCGATTAATAAAATAAATCGACACAAAATGTTTGCTGTCTTTAATAGCATTTGCCTTAAAGAAAATTTGCTACCTAAATACACAGAA